ACCATGCTTCAAGTGTACCATAGAATCATTTGTAGTTGTGCTACCAGATTNTCTCTATTTGCTTCATGGATGGGTAATATTTTAGAGTGATTGAATGATGTAGCAACCATTATTTGCTTAACCAATTTCTAGGATATAGTCATATCACCATAAATAAAAACATATTCAGTTTATGATCCAGCCTTGTGTGGATCAAAAAGAAAACCAACATCTGTATATCCAATTAACTGCGGACTTTGGTTAGTTGTATAGAATAACCCCATGTCCACTGTTCCATNATTGTCTTATAGGAACATCAATTCTTACTAGTGCATTTGCAACTGGCACATATGACTTTGTTACTTTATTTGAGTCAGTTAATATATATAGGTATGTTATTTGCAATTCCTTGCAAATGAATGATCTTTTAAACTTCTAGTTCATATTGATTTGTTAGGGGATCAAAATGAGATAACGATGGAACATTCTAAGTAAGTTCGTACTCTTTTTCGGATTTGTTATTGTCTCCCCCCTAATCATGGAAAAACCGACTCATCAAATTCAAAATTTGTAAACTCATGCTTTAAACATATCACCAGTTAAAAATTCAAAATATCTAATTATTATATGAAAGTTAAATCCAACATATATATCAAGTCAACGTTGTGGACCCATCTTGGTCTGTTATGGTGATGGAATTGTAACACATGTTGTAGACGAGAAATATTTGGTTGCTGACCAAGAACAAGTTCTACTGATGAATGAGTATGATATACAGTTGGTCAAACACGAATTAAAGATGTGANCATCAAATGACTATTTATAAACCTGCCAAAAAGATATTGGGGTAAAAATAAAATTTTCAAAAGTTAAGAGACCTAAACAGTACTCATTATAAGATAAAAGAGTTAAAATGTAAATTATTATATTAACTTCACTGTAGTCCTTTAGTTCTTTATGGGATCAATTTGGGATCAAAACAAAAAATAAATAATTTATTATAATTGCTAGATAATTGATTCGAACGGTGACCTCCACTACCTCAATGTGGGATTAATCATATCGGAAAGACCCAAAGGTTTGAACAAATTTGGTGGAAAATAAATATGCATGCACATAATGAGAAAAATGTTGTCAAAAATGTTGTTGGAACCAATTAGTATCTCGTTTTCTACTGACATATATTTATGCATTTAATTATTTACGAGCTTTAGGCTCTATAAATTAAATTATGATCTCCTGACATCATAATAATTTACAAACTTCAGGTATGTAATTTATATGCCCTTTTCTAGCACATGTGCTTCAAGTACTAAATTTTTCGATCATGTTCTTTAAGAACATAATTTATATTTAAATTCTTTATTTACTACATGTACACAATTTATGTGTTTTAGGCATTAATTCAAATATAATGGTAATTTAAAAACCAAACACCCACATCATGTTTTCTTATAACATGAATGATGTGACCTTAAAACTATTCAATTCATATATTTTAGCTTACCTTTTGGGAATAGAAAATTAATTGGCAGTGACTCAGTTAGCTAACTTTTGTGTTGATAACGTGTTATAAAATTACCAAATAATTTAGATGTAAACAATTAATTCAGAAAACAATAGACAATAATGAGAAAGATAGGGATTTTCTATTTGTTTCTTGTGTATTTCTTTGGTTGAATTGAGTATGCATTTTATAGGTAAAGTTTCAAACTTCTACAAAACCAGTAGAAAGGAAGGCAGTGTTCGATAAAATTGAAATCTAAATACTAAAATTTGAATGTTGAATTTTAAGTGTTGAATGCTAAATTTTTTAATTCGTAAATTGCATGGTATCATCTGAATTTTAAGTATTGAATCAAATTGTTTGACAAATATATAAAGCTAAAGTATGCAAATTATTATTATTATAATTTTTTTCTTTTTTATAACCATCTTACCACAATTACTTTATTCCCGCCCTCTATCATCACAATGGTGGCGGTGGCGGTGGTGACAACATAATAATGGNAGACTTCAATCAAGTTTCCTGAACTTGATATTGTATTAACACTAGTTTTAGATAATGTTAATTCAAAGAAAAGCTTTCTATCATGAAGGATTGTGTGAGTCACAGAACAATCCGCTAGACATATATCTTATCCTTCACCTCAAAGTTAACAAATGAATTACTAGGATCCATGCCTCTCTATGAAAAGTAGACATGATTTTATTAATAAAGAAAATACATAGACATTAATATTTTCCAAATAACACAAAGGAAAAATTTACAAACACACACCAAATTATGTTTTACAAAAATACAAGATAACATTCTTAATCTATATCCTCGATTTCATTTTTTTTGGGTTCACAAAGAAGTCGGAAATATTCATGCTAGTAAAATCTGCTCGATAATCGATGAGAGTGGTACCTAATGGTCCCTCGCCATAATTTGTCTCTATCAACTTTTATTTTCCTTTGATAGATGTTTGGTAAAGATCCACAATTTTTTTTGGCATACTATAGGTACCCAACCACTATCCTTTCATACNTGGAACCAATTAGTATCTCGTTTTCTACTGACATATATTTATGCATTTAATTATTTACGAGCTTTAGGCTCTATAAATTAAATTATGATCTCCTGACATCATAATAATTTACAAACTTCAGGTATGTAATTTATATGCCCTTTTCTAGCACATGTGCTTCAAGTACTAAATTTTTCGATCATGTTCTTTAAGAACATAATTTATATTTAAATTCTTTATTTACTACATGTACACAATTTATGTGTTTTAGGCATTAATTCAAATATAATGGTAATTTAAAAACCAAACACCCACATCATGTTTTCTTATAACATGAATGATGTGACCTTAAAACTATTCAATTCATATATTTTAGCTTACCTTTTGGGAATAGAAAATTAATTGGCAGTGACTCAGTTAGCTAACTTTTGTGTTGATAACGTGTTATAAAATTACCAAATAATTTAGATGTAAACAATTAATTCAGAAAACAATAGATAATAATGAGAAAGATAGGGATTTTCTATTTGTTTCTTGTGTATTTCTTTGGTTGAATTGAGTATGCATTTTATAGGTAAAGTTTCAAACTTCTACAAAACCAGTAGAAAGGAAGGCAGTGTTCGATAAAATTGAAATCTAAATACTAAAATTTGAATGTTGAATTTTAAGTGTTGAATGCTAAATTTTTTAATTCGTAAATTGCATGGTATCATCTGAATTTTAAGTATTGAATCAAATTGTTTGACAAATATATAAAGCTAAAGTATGCAAATTATTATTATTATAATTTTTTTCTTTTTTATAACCATCTTACCACAATTACTTTATTCCCGCCCTCTATCATCACAATGGTGGCGGTGGCGGTGGTGACAACATAATAATGGTGGGTATTGAAAAGTTAAGAGTACATGTATTGATAATATATTTGTCCATTACAAGGAATTTATAAAATCGTTACTGACTTACATTTTCAACATTAAGAGATAATTGTACGTGGCTTTGGGGGCTGTTTGATAACTCAATTCAGCACTAAAAACTTGACATATTCAGTAGTTTTTGAATTAAGTTTGTTTGATGATACAATACTATTATCACTGAGTGAATTAAGTTTCACTTAAAAATTGTATGGACAACTTTGCCCCGAAATATTTTCGTCTAGTCAGGCCATTTTGCTGCTGATTTTTCTCTACAGCGCCCTACCTCTTTTCTTTCTTCCTCATAGCTTCAAGTCATTTCTAGTAGCTTCGTCCTCTTTCAGCTGCAACTTGGCTATATTTTGTTTCACTGACTCCCTCTCTTTCTGTAAGCCTTTATCTCTTGTACTCACTTTTCAGTGCATTTTTCATCTACACTCCTTTCCTCTTACACACCTACATGTAGTGATCGGAGTTGAGAAAGGGGTAGTGGGTAGAGAAATAGGGTATTATTTAAATTTAATTTATTGACATAATATATTATAATCATTAAATTGATTGTAAGTCCCAACAAATATTAGGATTCACTGCCACTTTAAGAATTATGAGTGATTAAATTAACAAATTAAATCNAATTTGTCTCTATCAACTTTTATTTTCCTTTGATAGATGTTTGGTAAAGATCCACAATTTTTTTTGGCATACTATAGGTACCCAACCACTATCCTTTCATACCTCATTTATAGCAACCATCCTCAATTTTCTTAGAGAGTTTATATGGCAAATCCTTTTTTTCTTTTCTTTGCTATGGTTGTTCCACTTCTGGTGTTGTGCAGTATTGTTCCATTTCTGACTTGGTGTGAAGGGTTTCAGGCTTTCATGGTAACTCTTATGAAAATGACTATTTTTATTTTTGTCATGGCCATAACCACGACCTCGTCCTTGGCCACGAAAGGATGTAACAATTACTTTTGGAAAAGTTTGGTGACCAGTTGGATGAGCCTTATGGTTCTNATTTATCCTAGTTGTAATTTTCAAAAGTAAATGACAATTGACTATTTTTTAGTGATCAATTTAATTTGAATTAATTTTATGATCATGTTTTTTTTTATATTTAGACTATAATGTGATAATAATGATTATAATTTAAGTTATGATAATTTATTTTCAGATATCAACTTTGTATACTTATTAAATAATTTAGTTCAATTCAGTATCTATATTTTAGTGCATATCAAATAGTTTGTGAATTAAAAATTCAGTATTCAATACTTAAAATTTCAACTATTAAATTTCAGTATTTAGTTTTTAATTTTATCAAATAACCTTTTGATACTTAAATTTTTAACTTACTTTGTAGAAGTGTGCTTAAAATATTAAATAATTTGAAGTTATTAAACGAATTTAATTTATTAAATATTTAAAGTTTTCAATTTTAAATATTAAGTAGTCCAAAATTAATGTAAATAGTGGTAGTGGGCAGCAGTCCGTTCAACAGTGTATATCGTATGTCGTGGTTGAAACTAGAAAATTACACAACCTAGCTAGGCTAACCCTGGCTTTCCTGCCCCCTTTGCCCTTCAAAGTATCCCTCATGCCTAGCGGAAGCAAAGGGCTCATGTTCCTGTCCCCCGTAACCACCCTTGAAAATACTTCCATGGCCGCCTCAGCACCGGCTGTACTTAAGAAGCTCTTATTCCATTCCCTATCACCACCGCCACCCATATTCCACCTCCTCCGCCGCCTCTCTGTTAACAATTTCACCACTACCACTACTTCTATTCCAACCCAAACTTTGAACAGCAACAAAAAGAAGAGAGAGAAGCAAAAGCGGCGTAATAGTCAAACAGCGGCGGCGGCGGAATCTCTGGTGAAAAGGAGGACCCGTTCGGATAAGGAGTTCGATGAGGAGAGTGTTTTGCGGTTTGGGGATAGTGCTACCCACATACCCGTTATGCTCGGTGAAGTCTTGGAGGTTTTCGCTTCCCGTACGGTCCTTTCATTTGTAGATTGTACCCTTGGTGCTGCCGGACATTCTTCCGCGGTCAGTACTTCAACTTTCTAACAGTCATATTAAGGATGAAATTTTTTATCATCAAACGTCAACACGAGTGCGGGTTAGGGTTCGAGGAGGGAATTCGATGAATCTGAACCAGAATGTATTAGAGGATGAATCCATCGGAAAGGATGATTGTTTTGTGACGCTAGTTGAAAAATGACGCAACAAATAATAAATGAGTTGCTTAGTGCTAAACTTTTTTTATCTTCCCTGAACTGGGCTTAGTGCTCAGATTTTGAAACACAAACCCACTCAACAAAGTATTTAATTTTTTTTTGAATTTTTTAATCAACTATTATATTTTTTCTTGTAGGTTACTTGATTTTGATTCCATATGTATCAAGTGAATTATGTAGTATATAAGGGGCAGAGGCAGAACCAGGAATAGTGACATAACATGATATTTTTTATTTAATGTGGGTCATGCAATAAAATCTTTAACAGTAAATTTTTATATGCATAGAACATATCAGAATGACAATGTAATTATTATTTTCAGTAAACTAATACAATTAATTGAAATTAGGCGAATAATTCGGTGTAAAAACTTAATCAATTCATCAAATAATCAATCATTCAAGTTTAATTTCATCATATAATAACTCAAGTACAATTAGATTTCATCATACTTTTGGCAAATGTGAGGAGAGAACAAATTTCTGAAGCATATTTCCAACTGGTTTTGAACTTTTTATATGTAGTGTTTGAATCCATTATAATTCATCCTCTTAACTACGACACTTATTTCACTGTACAACTACACTACTGGTTCAAATATATTGCACCATTAATTGTTTAAAATAGTCTAAAATTCACAGATGTGCACCATACCAAAATTTAACGATTTATGAAAATGTCAGAATTTTAATAGTTAATGATGCAATGTGGCCAAATCAAAAATAAAATCGTTAGAATCTAAGGAATAAAGTATAAATTTAAGAATTTGAGTGGCATATAAAAGGTAATCAGAAATATAATTTTAGGGGTATAATGTATAATTTTCAAAATTTAAAGGGGGGGGGGGGGGCTAGGCAATAACATGGCTTCGCCTCTGTAAGGGCCTATACTAGTATTGGATTTTTAGTTCATGGGTCTCAATCTGAACATAACGTGATTGGTAAATAAGTTTGGGTTAGAGATGATTTGTACTCAATAATAATTGAAATCAAAATGACATGACTCGAGCTCGACACAACACAACTCTATTACCACCCTTAAATCTGCCAGAGTTTTCAATGAACAATTCATCATAAATGAATTATTCATTTATGACAAATTACAGATAATTCAGGCCCATCCAGAAATTCAGTTGTTTGTTGGGCTGGATGTTGATCCTGTTGCACATGAGAAAGCTCAAGCTCGGATCAAAGCAATGTTGCATGGGAATTCTTTTGGTTCAACTCCAGATTTGGGAGCTCATATCCTTTTGAGAAATTTTAAGGATATCAAGTCTGTGCTTTGTGAGGTTGATGAAAAAATGGTAGTTCCTGGAGCTGATGGTGTGTTGATGGACCTGGGAATGTCATCCATGCAGGTTTGCTTTCTTAAAAATCACAGTTATGCCATTTCTTGTCCAAAATCTACTTTTTGGTTTTGTGTAGCTCCTGATCTGATGATAGATATCTTTGACCATTCTCATTCTCTCTTGTTGTTTATGTATTACATATTTCTGTCACGAGAAGGGGAGGGAAAGACAAGGGGGAGTGAAGGTGAAGGGGGATCAGTTACTGCACTTGGACTTTTTGCATTCTATAGAATTACTAGTTGGGTAACCCCTACGATGCATGGGCATATGAATTGTATATGATAGAATTATTTTTTTTGATAAGAAAAACAATTTTATTAATAATAAAAGGAAAAACGGTGGTAAAAAAATCAGTCATAAGTGGACAAGTCGTCTAACAAAATGATGGTTAACAACAAAGTCATAACCAAAAAAAAGCTAGAAGATTAAAACCAATTTACAATCCACATGATGCCAACCAACTCGTCATAATGCTAAAGAGAGGGTCGTTCTCAAAATCCTTAGTCATGGATGCCCAAAAAGAAGTGAAGAAATACAACATAATGATTCAAATGCTTCCCATTTATTTTCGAAGATTCTCACATTTTTTTCTATCCATAAAACCCAAATATTGTAAAGTTATGGAGCTCCAACCGGATATATGTTTTCAAAATTGCAAGTTATTGTACCATATGGAATATATAGGAATTTCAGTTCAAATTGGAAGAGATTAAGCTCAAGGAATTACTTCAAACTGACACACGTATCTTCATCATCTTACTCTTCTATCCTGTACCCCCAACTCCCACTCCCCTTACTTGGGGTTGGTCCAGTAGATGGGCTCCATTTGTGGTATTGTAGCAATTGGACCCCTAGGAATTAACATGATTTAAAAAATATACCTGGCTTAGTTGGAGACTTATAATGGGTGCACGGTATATTGCACAATACTGTACCAAATCCAGTCATTACAGTTCCAAGAAAATGACATGTACTATCAATCTTGAGAAAGTAAATTAACAATTGCAGAAAAGCTTTTTATGAGTACAAAATAGATACAGGCGAAAAAATTTGGAACTAAGATTGCTAAGGCTGAGTTCTTTACCTTGAGAAACTATACATCTACTTTAAAAGTCTGTGGTAAAAAATTCCAAGTACTTCCAAAGCATGTTAAGAGAGCTAGATAAAAAAACTGTTGCAGTGGAGATGATTTTGTAATTGTAGGCAAACAATTCCAAAGAAGTTCAAAATTTTTTCCCACAACATGTTCATCATACAATGCAAAATACATTACAGCTTTTATTGGTGAATTAGTCTAAACAAATTCAGATTCTCATCCACAATTAAGGGGCAAAGAAAATTCATTAAGGTAAAGAACTTGCAGCACAAATGACTGAAATTCCCTAAAGTTGTAACCTCTGAAGAGGCATCAGTCAACTCATTTACAAAGGTCAAGGAAAAATGAGAGGATTAAAACACATAAAAGGTAAAAATGAAACCCCGTAAAATTCGCTCTTGCATGACAACAACAATCGATGTTGCTATATGATGTAATAGAAAGAAAATTGAGAAAACTAAGGTATCACTGAATAGATGTTGAAAAGTTTGTCTTTGGAGGTACAACACAAAAACATGAAAAGGAATGGAAAACTAATGACAAGTAGAAAATATTACTTGAAAAATCTGAAGAATTTTCATTGTATATGTCCTTTTGAATTTTTGGCTTTATATAGTTGTTAATCAGATATATTCCAATATTGGTTCTTACCCATCTTTGTGTACTTAAAGTAAAACAAAAGGAACTTTTTCCACTGAGTCCAACAAAAATGTAACATCAAGTATTTGTGAAAGATGGGTATTAGGTTTTCACTATTGTGTTAGTTGATTTTGTTTTGAACTTAAAAAGATGACCAAATCAAAACCCTCAAATTAAAAAAGAATGCCAAGTTCACATTTAAAAAACGTTTACCTTAAGGTTAAGTTTAGTCTCTCTTTTCATCTTTTCCAAAATAGACATTGGGAAAAAAAACAAAGAAAGCGAGCTATCAAAAACATTCAACTTGCGATTCTATAAGTATGAAATGTCTAAAGGACAAGTCAACGCACAGTTGCAATCTTGCAATTAGGGTACCATCAAACTTGAAGGTTAACTGTATCAAATATTACCATTGACTAGACAGAAGAAAATTGTCCAACGGGATGAAATGTAAAATATTTATGGCTTACCATGAAAGCTTCATTTTCTATCACGTGACACAAGAAATGTAAAAATTTATCACCCACAAATGATCCTATTCAAATATGTGTGGACATCACAACCTAATTACATCCGTTATAATCTAAAAAATTAAAAAGCAGTGTCCTTTTTCTAATGATCCTCAACTCGATCAGCCACCATAGCAATCCCCATGATTAGATACTTATCAAAGTCATATAATTTAATGTAGTACAATTTACATTATGCAGAAAACCCACCTACAAAAAGTACCACTATGGAAAGTTATATCTCATTGTATTTATTTTATTTAAACACGACTTCATTGTTCGGGTTGTCGAATCAAAACACAAAATTTACCATACTTTTAAATTATAACTTTAATTGATATTGGAATCAAAGAATTCCCCCTAAAATTTTTTTTTTTTTGGAACTATAGGAAAAATCAATGGTGAACTAAAAATAAGTTTTTATAAAATTAATGCAGATCAAAATTTTTAAAAAAAAGCAGTGTCAAATTTGGCCACATGACCTTTGGTTTCTTTGGCTGTGCCTTCCTTTCCTAAGTTGTTCAATTCTCAAAAAGATCCAAATTATGGTTATCATAATCATATTTTTTGTCAGCCATGTGATTTCACGAAAGCCTCCGATCAAACCATAATCATTTTTTTAGTTTAGACTATCAATTCAAAATTCAGTATCACACTGTCCAATGTTGCTAAGAATTTCAATTTTCATTGGAACAAAAAACTTTCGAAAAAGCTTTTAATTCAAAACTCACGAAAGAGTTCAAAAAACAAGTTGAATAGACTAAATTTAGAAATTTTTTTTTGTAGCACTTATTATAAAATAACAACAGTGTCTAATTCAGCGACTCTAATTGGTGGTTTCTTTAGTGCCTCCCTTCTTTTGTTGAACCTTTTTGTTGTCAGCAACATCCAAATCATTTTCATGACCATTGCCCCTTTTATATGCCATAGGATTTTCCCAGAGTTTCTGAGTAGCCAAATCATAGAATCATTGGATCTTTGAATTTCATTTATCTCCGGAAAATAGAAACCCAATACCTAGGCATCATGGGGGAGGGAGGGCGGGCCAAAAGGGTGAACGGGGTGATGAAAGAAGGGGCATTAGAGAGCGACAAAGATAGAGAACAAATGTGGAATATGCATGAGAAGGTGGGTAGTGGATAGTGTCATATCTATAGTTCAATGTTTGTGGAACCTCATCCATTGCATTAATGGTTTTTGAAATTCAAAAGAAAAAAAATTGAAAATTATGAATGAGAGGAGTAACTTTAGGGATTGTCTCTTCTCAAGGACAATGACAAATTTCTCTCAAAGATTAAGAAAAATTCAAAATTCATTGAGACGTTCCTATTGGCATTTTTATAATTTATTAAGATTTTAGTGTTGGTATGGTTCCGTGAATCATGTAAATGTAAAAGATTATATAAGTCTAAGTTTGAGTCATTAATGGTTTTTGAAATTCAAAAGAAAAAAAATTGAAAATTATGAATGACAGGAGTAACTTTAGGGATTGTCTCTTCGCAAGGACAATGACAACTTTCTCTCAAAGATTAGGAATAATTCAGAATTCATTGAGACGTTCCTATTGGCATTTTTATAATTTATTAAGATTTTAGTGTTGGTATGGTTCCGTGAATCACGTAAATGTAAAAGATTATATAAGTCTAAGTTTGAGTCAAGATTGAAGAATTGAAGATCAACTTAAATTGGGATTTGAAAGCTTCAAGAAGACTTCATTGATTTTCATCACCGGATTAGGTTGATAAGTTGACCTAGAGGCCTAATGAGGAATATGTGATTAGTTTGAGAGGTTTAATTTTTTTGGTTTCAATTTTATTTTGAAGCATGAGTGTAAATGACTCGAGAATGTTTCTTAGAGAAAAATGTTGGTAAAAAGNGAGTCAAGATTGAAGAATTGAAGATCAACTTAAATTGGGATTTGAAAGCTTCAAGAAGACTTCATTGATTTTCATCACCGGATTAGGTTGATAAGTTGACCTAGAGGCCTAATGAGGAATATGTGATTAGTTTGAGAGGTTTAATTTTTTTGGTTTCAATTTTATTTTTGAAGCATGAGTGTAAATGACTCGAGAATGTTTCTTAGAGAAAAATGTTGGTAAAAAGTATACTCTGAAAAATAGTTTTTGAAAAAACAAAAGAAGGCTAAATTGCACTCATTGCTCAAGTGAGCTCATTATAGCTCAAGCGAGAGTTACAGAACTTAGTGCTTTGTTAGAAGAAATGTTAGTAGCTCAAGCTGGCTATGTGTTGCTTTGGCGCTCAAGCGAGCCCAAGCATGCTTGAGCGAGGCTTGGAATGAAGAAAGAGCGACTGCGGCGAATCATATTGACGATTTTAAGTATTTTAAATATAATTTTTTTCTGGTAAAATATATATATATAACTTTTCCAAAACTTAGGTGCAACTTGCGTCTATGAAAAAAAAAAAAAAAGAAGTTTTTGTGGAGTTTATAAAGGTCTTTCACGTAGTTTTTCATGAGCCAAAGAGATTATTCTTTGTGAAGATTTCACACCTTGTTGAGAGCTCGTGATCTTTTGGTAAAAATCATAGAGCCTTCCTTGAATGCATTCCTTCCTAGAAGATTGTTAGATTTTTCNTATGAAAAAAAAAAAAAAAGAAGTTTTTGTGGAGTTTATAAAGGTCTTTCATGTAGTTTTTCATGAGCCAAAGAGATTATTCTTTGTGAAGATTTCACACCTTGTTGAGAGCTCATGATCTTTTGGTAAAAATCATAGAGCCTTCCTTGAATGCATTCCTTCCTAGAAGATTGTTAGATTTTTCTTAATCTTGTGAGATTTGTTAACTACATCATATAGGATTCCTTGAGAGTATCCTTTCTAGGTTTGCCACAAAGCCTTAGGGGGGAGTGTTATTTGTACTCATATTGAAAGGAGCTAGTGTTTTACGAGTTGAAAAACAAGAGAGAGTTCGTCGGGAAGAGAACAAGACAAAAGAATAACTTAAACCTAGTGAGGCTAAGAGGGATTGTAGTTGTTTAGTTCGTATTGCTGATTGGAATAGTGGAGGGTTTTGACTGGACTTGGTCTGGTGGTTTTTCCCATGAGGGTTTTTACGTTAAAAACGTGTCTTATTATTTTGTGTGGTTGTTTGTTTGATTGCTTCAAACACACTAGATCGATTTATTTACGTATATTGATCATAGTTGCATTGAACAATCTATATTGTTGACATATGATTTTTGATTGATCCATATTGTTGTTTGTTTAATTGAATCTTACTCATATCAACTTAAGTGTTTGAATAGGAGAAATAGGTTTTAAATTTTTCATTGGTAATTGATTTCGCACAAGATGACATCCATAATGCATATGTTGAATTGTATAATGGAATCTGAAATTGAATATGGCTCATTGGGCTTTAAATAAGAAACACCAAATCCTTGCAAAAGAAAGAGATGTGCAACACGAATCTGTTGAAAGGCAATAAGGTCTAGATGTGAAAATACAAAATCTTGAGAAGGACCTTTCTAAATCAAGAGAGATCACTAGAAAAATGACTCTAAGAAAACAAATGTTTGATGAGATGCTTGCTGTTGGGAAAGGTGATTGGGACGAGAGGTTTAGGTTTTTCATGCTTTATCTCAAAATTCTAAGAAGCTTGAGTCTCAAGTAAATGACATAACTCAAATAAACCTCAAATTGTAAATGTATTGTTTGTGATTGACATATTTTCATGAGTCATATGGATCAAGTTAATTGAGGTATTATGGTTCTTGTATTGAAGATTGAAGAAATTCAAGTCAGGTGAGATGAAGATTCATGAAGATGAAAAAAGTTAAATTCATGGCATTCACACTTCAGTTAAGGTTGGTAAGTGGACTTAGATACTTTAGTAAACCTTGGTATAATTTAGAAAAAGTTTTCAATATTTCATTTTTGTGATATATAATTAGTTTTTCTTTTTTGGCATGAAAAACTTGATTTTTAGAGTCAAAATAATGTCCAAGTATAGACCACATTGAAACAAAATCTAAGGGTACTTGTTTGAGGTCAATTGGACTCGTTTTAGATGGTTTCAAGGAGTTGGCACTCGCCTGACATGGGATTCCATGTTTNTAGACCACATTGAAACAAAATCTAAGGGTACTTGTTTGAGGTCAATTGGACTCGTTTCAGATGGTTTCAAGGAGTTGGCACTCGCCTGACATGGGATTCCATGTTTGAGCGACAAGGTCAGAACAGAGACTAATTAAATGCTATAACTCAAGCACGAGCAATTGCGGTGCATCAAAATCCAGTTCTAATTAGGATACCTTCCCAAACTCAATTTCTAAGTTTTTTACTATAAATACAAAACCCTAGGTCATTTTTTAGAGAGAAATAATAGAGGAAGTTACATGTTTTGAATATAACTCATCCAAAACTTAGGTACAACTTGCTTTGCCTATAAAAAAACAAAAACCGTAGAAGTTTTTGTAGAGTTCTAGCGAAGTCTTTCACATAATTTTTCATGAGCCAAAAGAGATCTTGTTATTTGGGAAGATTTTAAACCTTGTCGAGAGCTTGTGACTTTTTGATAAAAAAAATGGATCATTCCTTGAGTGTTTTCGTTTCTAGAAGATTATTAGCTTGCTTTTAGTCTTGTGAGATTTGTTACCTACATCTTAGAGTTGTTCATTTATTCAAAACNTAGAAGATTATTAGCTTGCTTTTAGTCTTGTGAGATTTGTTACCTACATCTTAGAGTACTCATTTGAGAATATCCCTTCTAGGTTTCTCACAAAGCCTTAGAGTTGTTCATTTATTCAAAAANGATTATTAGCTTGCTTTTAGTCTTGTGAGATTTGTTACCTACATCTTAGAGTTGTTCATTTATTCAAAACGAAGAAGCTTAAGTTGTATTTGATTTTGAGGAGGAAGATGAAGTCTTGTGGAGGACAAGTCAACACTATTCCTGGGGAGCATACTTTGAACCCATACCGAAAGGAGCCGGTGTTCTATGAGTTGAACGACAAGTGAGATTTTGTTGGAAAGAGTACGAGATAAGAGAATAGTTTACATCTAGTGTTGCTAGAGGGATTGTATTTTCATCTTTACTAATTTTAATAGAAGAGGGTTTAGGATGGACTTGATACCATGGTTTTTCCTGTGAGGGTTTCCACGTAAAAATTGTTTAATTGATTTAAGCACTAGATCTGTGAAATCATGTATATTGATCATATGTATTGAACAATATATATTATTGTTGGCATATGATTTTGCAATTGATCTGTATTGTTGCCTGTTTAATTTGGTTTGGTATGCACAGGTGAACAATGCGAAAAGAGGATTTAGTGTGCTTAGTAATGGACCTCTTGATATGCGAATGGATCCTCAAGTAAGATTGCCACACGGTTCATTTTCTTATATATATATATATATATATATATATATTATCTATTTAATATTACACGTAGAAAGTTGAATTCTTAACTTATAAAAGCACACCAACAGTCAAAATTGATCCAAATTTTATCTATTTTGATTTAATAGCACAAAATTCATTATAATTTTTTTCATCGCTAAAAAATATCAACTCAATCAATATTTTCTCTCTCCTCTACCTCTCTTATTTCTTTGTGCTCACTTTAATATTAAATTGTGTAATTAAAAAAATAAAAAGAAAAATAAATTAATATTTAAAATATAAATGTTGTATGGTCAATGAGCAATTTTTGATAAGTACAAAGTGTCTTCAGATGCAGGGTTATTGCTAATATATATATATATATATATATATATATATATATATATATATATATATTATCTATTTAATATTACACGTAGAAAGTTGAATTCTTAACTTATAAAAGCACACCAACAGTCAAAATTGATCCAAATTTTATCTATTTTGATTTAATAGCACAAAATTCATTATAATTTTTTTCATCGCTAAAAAATATCAACTCAATCAATATTTTCTCTCTCCTCTACCTCTCTTATTTCTCTGTGCTCACTTTAATATTAAATTGTGTAATTAAAAAAATAAAAAGAAAAATAAATTAATATTTAAAATATAAATGTTGTATGGTCAATGAGCAATTTTTGATAAGTACAAAGTGTCTTCAGATGCAGGGTTATTGCTAATATATATATATATATATATATATTAACATCATGGGTGCTGTTTTTTTGCTTAAGCTTTGCTTTAGACAACTTGCCTCGCCCTGGACCTTTTGAGGCAAGCCAGTTTCCCCTGACCTTGCCTAACGCCTGGGCGATTGCCTAGGCACACTTTTAATAATACTGTGATCAACAGTAAGAAAGTTTGGGTTTGGGCTATTGTTCTCCTTCAGTCAATTATCGTTCCAACCAGCAGGTAGGGGACTCTGATGTTCTCCTCCAGTCAAATATCAATGGCCTTTGTCTTTTGGTTTTTGTGCTGGAGTCCAAAAGGCTTGTTTGGGGACTCTGATGTTTAGGCAGGCTTTTAATAACACTGAGAGCAACAGTAAAAAAGTTTGGGTATGGGCTCTTCTTCTCCTTCAGTCAATTATTGTTCCAACCAGCCGGTAGGGTCAAATATCAATGGCCTATGTCTTTTGGTTTTTTGTTCATTAGTCCAAAAGGCATGTTTGGGGGCTCTGATGCTTCAGTCACATAGATCATTTCATTAAACAAAAAAAAAGGCCACCCCTCATATGCCTAGACCAAGTTTCGGTCAAGTCGCCCCTCCTTAGGCGTAGTGAGACCAAATGCTGTGTTCACCTTGCGTAGCGCTTTGGCGCGCTTTTAATAACTCTAGCTTGATCCACTGGAGAGTCAGTATGACTTGCCTAAAATATGTTTTCCTAATGCATATAATATAAGGATTGATTATGTTTGTGCAAACTTGCACAAGTGTTTACAATTACATAGCGTGTTGGTGGATCCATTTCTTTTAATGATCCTCTTACTTCTAAGTTGTTTTTGTTGACTAATTCAGCTGTCCAATTCATCTGTTCAATAATCGAATTAATTCTGGCACACAATCTCTTTTTCCTTTCCTGAAATTTGTGTTGTTATCNACTTCTAAGTTGTTTTTGTTGACTAATTCAGCTGTCCAATTCATCTGTTCAATAATCAAATTAATTCTGGCACACAATCTCTTTTTCCTTTCCTGAAATTTGTGTTGTTATTAACCACCTCAGCATACTCTCCCACTCTGGAATTAGTTTAGTGTTTTACAGAGGACTGAGATTAGTAAAGCCCAAATTAACACAAGGGGATCCTCTGTTTTCCTGAAACAGAATTTTCATGTTTTTCTTTCCATCAACTGATTGAAACAGGGGTATGACAGGCAAGTCTGAAAGCAGCAGACATATTAAATTCATGGCCAGATGCTGAAGTGGGCCGTATCCTACGGGAGTATGGTGAAGAAAGTAATTGGCATTCTCTTCAGAAAAAAATTGTCAAGGCTCGTCCAAATGGTGGCTTGCATTCTACTGGTGAACTAGTAGATCTTATTCGGAATTCAACTTCCAGGACAAAAGGTGGGTTTCTTCTCTTGTATCCTATTTAGTTTTTTTTCCTTCTCTCTCGACTGCTCATATACCTTCCAAAATTAAGATTCCTCTGCGTGGATGATTTTTCAAAAGCACGTGCTAGTTTTGTGATTTCTTTTGATGGCTTTAGGATTGACTCCCTTTGTAGGAGAGTCAAGGCTCGTGTAAATTGACGATAGCTGGGGCATCTATGTCCTTTTAACTCAAGTTGATGCAGTACATATTTCAAGCTCGATGAATAAACTTTTTTTATTTGGGACAGGAGGGCGACAAGGTTGGATAAAGACGGCGACACGTGTTTTTCAAGCTCTGAGGATAGCTGTTAATGATGAACTTAAGACACTGGAGGATTCGCTCTATGCTTGTTTTGATTGCCTTGGATCTGGGGGAAGACTAGCCGTCATCTCATTCCACAGTTTGGAGGACAGAATTGTGAAGCAAACATTTCTCAAGATCATCAATAAAAATGGAGAAGATGAAAATGAAGAAGAAAGATGCACATGGAAGTCGAGAGAAATAAAGGTTGACAATGATGAAAAAGAAGCATGGATTAAACAGATGGTACATGGTTGTAATGGAACAATCCTCACAAAGAGGCCCATTACACCCTCTCAAGAGGAAGAGAGATTGAACTGCCGGAGTAGGAGTGCTAAACTTAGGGTGATTCAAAAGGTTTGAAGAAAAGTTAAAAGTTTTCGATTCATTATGTCATGTTGCGATGAGAAATCAAATTTATCTGTGCCTCTGGTGGTTTACTTCACTGTATAAACTGCCAATTCTGGCTTTCTCTACTGTAAGAAATCTCATCTTATTGACTTGGTATTGACGTGAAGGGCATTAAAGAATTGAAGAGTTTCTGCTCATCTTTTGTATTGTTTAGTCACAAGCACAGCTGCTTATTTTGCTAGCAAATTAGACCATATTTTAATGCTCATAATCCAGGAGGGTTTGGATGTTGGATTGGGTAGGATTGGATTGGGCCATATACGCCAACGCAATTGGATTGAATTCGGGGTAAATTATACAGAATACCATGTTTAGTTCGGCAATGGATTGAATAGGTCAGATCAAAATTATCCAACTCAATCCACTCCAACGCCTTGTTTGCATATCAACCTTGAACTTGTGAGATTGGGACTGTCCACTTATTCTATCCAATCTCGTTTGAGAATATTTCAAATTTATCGAAGGGAATCAATAGCTTTCATTGATTGCGCAGATATAAATTTTTCCAGCAGTATTCATATCCAGCAAGGTCTCTCTCAGCATCTTTCCAGCCCTCGTATGCCCGGACAAGAGCAAGGGGGTCACTATAATCACGGGAAAACTGAGCTTTTGCAGCATCTAAAAGATACTTCTTGTCTAATGGCCTTAAGAAAAATCTCATACAATAAGGCCAGCAATTTTAGGCTGAAATTATGTGATGAGAATAAAATGGGTAATAAATATACAATAACTGCCCAACCTTACTAACATAGGGATTGCATCCAAAAGTTTTTTAAAAAAGGAAAACCTTTTTTAATAATAAAAATCATTAGTACTAAACCTAATTTACACACCAAAGAAGTGATCCTAACCTAATTAACTATTAATTTTATCTCACCGCATCCGATCACTAAATCCCTCCTTATCCAACAAACAAGACACGTCAAGAATTTACATGGCATCCATAAATATTCGTGTTTGGATAACCAACTGGCTTGAAATCTAAATTGGGTGGGGGCTTGTATTGCAATCAAAATCTCGACTAGTGGGGGTATCTCTTTTTTCTTCAAAAGTTCGGTGTGGGTATCTTGAACTCACCATCAATGGTGGTGTTCTTTCACTCAACTTTGTGTTTTAATTGCAATATTTTTGGTCTCAAATCATTGGACAAAATTAAAAGGCTGCTAAGAGGGACCAACTCTTTCCCAGCTTTGTGTGTTTGGTTGCAGTATACTCTCAGTCCCTATTTGAGTGAATAAAATGAAAGAAATCGAAGAATGTTGTTTGATGTATTTTTGGATTGCGGGTGTGCAAAAGTTTGATTGGACTTAAAATCCAAACATGTACAATCTTATCTACTTGAACCGGCATGAAATTTTTAAATCGTGATTGTTCATGTGATTGTAACGATGCGTAATGTTACATCTGAGTTATTTTCTATGCTTTGGAAATGAAGGACTTAAAACAATTTTCAACTAGTAACGGCATGGACTGAAATGTGCAAAGATAACTGGAATGTAAAGCAATAGAAAGACAGTAATGCGTAAATGAAAAAACTGATGTACTTAATATTAAAAGAAAAGGAAAATCATGGGGGTGATGGTTTACAAGTTAAAGAAAATTTGTGAGGAAATAAAGTAAGTAAAAGAGAGATTGGCTCTATGCAGAGTTGTTGTGTTAATCGAGGAATCCTTTATCTGTAACCTTGCCTTTAGTATTTATAGGAGATGACTACAAACCATCGAAGTCATCTTTTCTGGCGCTGAGATATGCAAATGTGCACTGAACCGACTTTAATTAGGGTGCATGAAGTCACATTTCCTCGTTTATCAGGATTCTTATAGTTCCATATCCTTAACCATTCTATTAGGCTTGGACTTTCACGGACTCTTTTTTGACCGTTAGATCACCTCCANTTGCCTTTAGTATTTATAGGAGATGACTACAAACCATCGAAGTCATCTTTTCTGGCGTTGAGATATGCAAATGTGCACTGAACCGTCTTTAATTAGGGTGCATGAAGTCACATTTTCTCTTTTATCAGGATTCTTATAGTTCCATATCCTTAACCATTCTATTAGGCTTGGACTTTCACGGACTCTTTTTTGACCATTAGATCACCTCCATGTGATACCCTTAGATTTTACTATTTTGGGTGCAAAAATTATCCCCCCCCCTCTCAAAACGTGTGATTGGATACTTCATATTTGGGGGGTTGTTGTGGTTCTTCAAATTTAAACTATTGTCACCCTAATCGTCTTGCTTAGTTGTCACCCTAGTATTGGTTGTGAAACTTAGAGTGTGTGGCCCAAATTCCATGTGTAGGCTCTCAGTCTTCATCTTGTCGTTTTAAATTTGCAAGAAACGGCTAACATGTGGTCCGTCCATATCCTTTCATCATTGCGACAATTCGNTGAAACTTAGAGTGTGTGGCCCAAATTCCATGTGTAGGCTCTCAGTCTTCATCTTGTCCTTTTAAATTTGCAAGAAACGGCTAACATGTGGTCCGTCCATATCCTTTCATCATTGCGACAATTCGTTCTCTATGCCAATATAAGTCATTCTTAGACCTACATTTTGTTATTATTCTGACCTTCTTATCTTCTTCTTATTCAATGGTAGTTCTGTAAAACCCAAGAAAATTAAAATGTTATTAAAAAGGGTAAAACAATAATAAGCCGTTATGATACGGGTTGAAAATCAGAAATTTTCTAAATCTCATATGATGAAATGGATCTCACAGTTGGATTCACATCGTGAAATCTAGCTACTCAGTCAATTTTTGTCAAATTTCGAGACAATCAAATTTTTTACGTTTTGCGAGGCAATTGNTCAGAAATTTTCTAAATCTCATATGATGAAATGGATCTCACAGTTGGATTCACATCGCGAAATCTAGCTACTCAGTCAATTTTTGTCAAATTTCGAGACAATCAAATTTTTTACGTTTTGCGAGGCAATTGGGTATCGTGCGACCAAGAAAAACAGCAGGATTTACTTGCAAAAATTGAGAAATAATTTAAAGTTTCTTCAATAAAAATGTACTAAACTTAAAACGAAATGAGATTTAATTCATTTGGAATAAAATTGGATCATAAAAAAAAGGAACGTGTGACTTAATGAGATCAAAGTATTGAGGGGTATAAATAGGGGAGAAAATCAGATTTTCTCCCCACTTTACACCTGAAATTTCTAGAAAAAGGAGAGAGAAGAAAAAGAGAGAGAAAGCCAAGGATCCTTCCAACTTCTCCCTCTAATCTACGACAATTCGGTTGTCGGATTGCTTTGGGCCAAGAACTAAATTTGTTCTTCGCGATGAGAGCAATTCATACATACCAAAGATAGTGAGTTTCGCCACAATCTCAAAGACAAGATTTTTGGGATCAAAGCTTGAAAGCTTGATGTGATGCCCCAAAAAAATTGGAGATTTTTTATCAACCCGTTGATCGCCCATCAACTCGCAGAAGTACTCGTGCGTACCGCATAACCCGAGACTACAACACAACATCCCCATTATCTGGGTCACAATCGACACAGTGTTTAGACAGATTCTTCCTTGTACCAGGCACTCTCAAACGCATATCCTATGTACATTCAATTACTTGACCAATCCCTGGTCCAATATACATCAATTTATACTTATTATTACTCCATATACCTCCTTTGAGCCAAGGGAGTTGATGCCCGGAGGCTTAGCAAGACATTTTGAATTTTTGAAAATTTAACAAAACCAACCGGTAGAAGAACTTAGAGTCCTACTAGTAGAAGAGCTCACTAGAATTCTTCTATCGGTAGGAAATCAATGTTCTATTGGTAGGAAATCTCACTGGAAATGTTCTACTAGTAGGTATTTGATGTTCTACAGGTAGAAGTGCCCAATTTTTTTTTTCCCGATTCGATCCTTTTTTAATTCCAATTCATTCCAACCTCATACATCATCAATTCAAACTCATATAACATGAAAATTTACATTAAACACTATTCATACGAGTTCGATTACAATCCCTTANTTTTTTTTTTTTTTTTCCGATTTGATCCTTTTTTAATTCCAATTCATTCCAACCTCATACATCATCAATTCAAACTCATATAACATGAAAATTTACATTAAACACTATTCATACGAGTTCGATTACAATCCCTTACATACAATTACATGTCCAAAACTAATTTATATAATTGTTTTACAAAACATGATTTTAAAGTCACATCTTGAATTTTCTTCATCAATGAGAGCCCGAGTGAGAGTTGTCTACCAGCGCATGTTCTGCACCTAAAATATTGTCTCCATAAAGGGTGAGCCACTCTCAATAGGGTATCTTCTAAAGAGANGTCCAAAACTAATTTATATAATTGTTTTACAAAACATGATTTTAAAGTCACATCTTGGATTTTCTTCATCAATGAGAACCCGAGTGAGAGTCGTCTACCAGCGCATGTTCTGCACCTAAAATATTGTCTCCATAAAGGGTGAGCCACTCTCAATAGGGTATTTTCTAAAGAGGCTACTCCCTAACCTAAATGCATTTGAAATATTCACATAGAATTTCACAAGCAACAAATACTACATNGCCCGAGTGAGAGTTGTCTACCAGCGCATGTTCTGCACCTAAAATATTGTCTCCATAAAGGGTGAGCCACTCTCAATAGGGTATCTTCTAAAGAGACTACTCCCTAACCTAAATGCATTTGAAATATTCACATAGAATTTCACAAGCAACAAATACTACATTCAAGAATATGAAATTCAATGATGGAATCCTTTATGTCATACCATGTTATGAGATGAGACTCACACATATAAATCAACCCGAGCCTTCTCTGACTCCCTTAACACATGCAATGTCATGCATATGAATCTGGGTATTCCAAGCCCTAGCCATTGNTCAATGATGGAATCCTTTATGTCATACCATGTTATGAGATGAGACTCACACATATAACTCAACCCGAGCCTTCTCTGACTCCCTTAA